GGATTTTCTCAATTTTCTGCTAAAAGTATTAGAGTCAATTGAGAATAATTTTTAATAACTAATTACTTGGTAAATTTTTAAGGCTTATTGGATAACACAAAATTAAGCTTGTACCATCTTTTGATGGGCGTTGTGAGGGTGCTATAACCTTCCTCACACGTAACCGAACTCCCGAACCCTGTTATGGTTAGTAGACCTGAACCTATTCTTTTAGGGACACTTAAACTTCGGTGTTCTTTCGAAAAGATAGATTCCTTAGGTAACCAATCGCACCTAGATAAAAAAGATTGGTGGCGACTCCTAAAAGTCAATGTTTAGCGATAGATCCCCGGATCTAGACGTTATGACATATATAATATTATATTACAACATATATAAAAATTTGATAAGATATACTTACATGAACGCTTAAATAGACAATCTATATTATTGATACGTGGATAGTTCTAAATAATTTTATCCAATGAATTATTCAATTTTTAAAAATTTTAAAATTTAAAATTTTATATTTGTCCAAGTCTTTTAAAATATATAAACTTTAATCCCAATTTAAACTTAAAAAAACATATCACATACCTTATTCTTATTCATTTATATGAAATACAAAATTCAAATAATTTTTAAAGGTGAAATCTCTAAATCTTAAGAACCATAAAAAATCATACATGTCTAAATTAATATTCACATAAATTTAAATAAATAAAGTTTGTGATTGAATCAATGTTATTTACTAATATTTTTGTCTTTATTTTTTTATGATTTAAAATAAAAGAGAGATATTTTATCTCGTTTAAAAGTACACATATATCTATATTTAAAATTATACTAACATCTTTTATCTTAATTTAAAATTAAACTTGAATAAACAATATTTTTAAAATTTTAAAATTTTTTAAAATAAAATAATTATCAAATATATATTTATGATTTTTTTTCACAATCAATATTTTCTTCTTTATAAAAGATAGAGCAATTAGATTTTCATCACAAAAGTTTGGCATGAAAAAGTTTTAAAATCAAATATGAAAAAATCTTTCATGATATACCACATGTGTAAATCTTAGTTTTCATACTAAAATAATATATACTTTTAACAATGAATATAATTGTGAACTAGAAAAAGATTTTTTCATTGAGATTTGTATGTAATTTTATTTTCATAATTCAAAACTTTCATAATGCTTATTTGGATTCTTTCAAAATAATTTATATATACATGACTTTAGTAATTTTAAACTACAAATTATAGATGAATAAAAATATTTTTATTTTTCTATAAATATAATATAAAATTTAATATAAATTAAAATTTTAAATTATAAAAAATATAATAAAAAATTTCGTGCATGACACATGTATTTTACTCTAATCATATATTATATTATATTATATTATATTATATTATAACATATATAGTTATCATATAGTAATTGCTGACGTAGATGCTTACGTGGACAGTTTCTTTTTTCGACACGTAAAATAATTCCTAAAACTTATTAAATTTAAATTATTTATAAAAAATATATTTTAAACATAATTAAATTATCTAAAATTTTAAATTTTAATAAAAAAATAATTTAAATTTTAATGAAATTTTTTTCTCTTGTTTATCACCTTATCTCAATTTAAAATAATTTTAAAGTAATTTATCTTTTTCAATTTATCTGAAGTTAATATGAGTATTTAAATTTATCACAACTTTTAAAAATTATTTAATATTTTTTATAAATAATCATTACATTATCCTTAACTTTTAAATATATTTCACGAAGAAAATATGAAAAAAATATAAATATCAAAACAACTTTAGGAAAGTTTCTTTTATACATCATTTTATCTTAATTTTAAACTAATTTTAAAGTAATTTATCTATAATTAACATAAGTATTTAAATTTATTACAACTTTTAAAAATATTATTTAATATCTTTAATATTTTTTATGAATAATTCTTACATTTTCTTCAGCTTTTAAATATATTTCACATAAGAAATGTGAAAAATATATATATAAATATCAAAACAACTTCAAATCAGTTTCTCCTATCATCGAGTTTCTACTTTATATTAAGTTTCTTTTGTACATCACTTCATCTCAATTTAAAATTAATTTTAAAGTAATTTATATTTTTCAATTTATCTACAGTTAACATGAATATTTAAATTTATCATAATTTTTAAAAATATTATTTAATATCTTTAATATTTTTTATAAATAATTTTTACATTATCTTTAGCTTTTAAATATATTTCACAAAAAAATGTGAAAAAAATATATATAAATACAAAAACAACTTTAAAAAAGCCCTTACTATTGATAGTTCTTAGTTATATAGCTTTCCTAATGTTTTACTTAGCCAAAAATATTTTTTTGTACTTTTAATTTAGTCTCTTTTTTTATTAGTATATTTTTGCTATCAGAACTAACATGCTTTTTTTAATGATAAGTATTATTTCACTAAACATACTATTCACTTCATCATATAAGATCTTTTTTTTTAAATCAGTTGTAATGTATTTTTTAGTTGTAATATTTTTTAAAAAAACTACAAAAACATATATGTTCTTATATTTTTACTGATGTTCACAAATTTCTTATTTTTTCGCTTATTCTTCACTCAATCAGGTAGTATATTTTATCTTTTAATTGATTATTTATTAAATATTCTCCATTCGTATAAACTAAAAATGATGTTTTGATTAATTGATATAATAAAGTTACATTCCTCTAAATAAAGACTTATGTGCCAATTGTATATTTAAAGAGTGAATAATTTCTCAACTCATATTTTTATTATGAAACATGTAACATAATTTCAAATCAAGAGATTAGTTTTTATAAAAAAATGAAATTAAAAAAAAATAATTCAATGATAGTTTCATCAATAATATTAATTTCAAGTTTATTTATATTTTAATTTTAAAAAATTGTAGAACCGTAATAGATTTTATTAAGATTCATAAAAAAAATATATAAATCTTATAATAACTCTACAATTAACAAAAATAAATTTATAATTTTTAGCAAAATTAAAAAAACCTTAATTTTATTATGATTTAATATTTTAATTATATTATTTATATATTAGATATATTTTGAATATGTGAATAATTTAGTAATATTAATTTTTATTTTTATTTAAATTTAAATAAAATAAACAATAATTCATGCATAGAGTAAAAAGCGAGTTGTTTACAAAATATCTTAATCCTACTTAAACAAATCGGATAATATTAGATACTCATTTAGTGACACGTTGCCATCTCTAGCTTCTTCGGAATAGAAAAGGAAGTGGGAAATTTCCTGAGAAAATGAATACCACAATTTTATCCTCTATTCCTGTTTGAATGAGTGAAGATGGTGGGCAATCAGTGACCATAGAGTCCGGCGTGGAAACGAAACAGCAGTCTGCCCACCGGCCTCCTACAGGCTTCCACGTGTCAGCCTAATCCAAAACTCTATCGTTGAATTTTTGGGAACAAACAAAGAAGTATGGGTGTTCCTTTCAACTTTCCACGTCAACCAACTTGGCCACACCACATAATCACTTCCCCGTTTCAGTCCCGAACAAATTTGAATCTTTTTTTGATTTTATTCAAAAATAATAAAAAAATACAAATAGTATTACTATATTATTTTTAAATATATTTTCAGTTATTTACAAAAAAAATTCACAGTCCTCAAATATTATTTAGTTTAATGATCACAAGTGACATTTCTTGTCATTGAGAGTCAATAGCTGATAAATTGCATGGAAAGGAGGAGACAAAGGATTGTGACAAGTGTGTGGTGTTGATTTATTTTGTTTCCCACCTGTTTATTCTTTGTACTTAGACATTATTCTTATCCTAAATCTTACTATTATTTTCATTTTTTTAATAAATAAATGAAAATTAACAATATCTTAATCCAAAAATGAAAAAATTACAATTATTAAAATTTGATTTAATGTTATTTTTAAAAAATAATTTCATGAATCAAATTGTCATTAAAAAAGAATAGCGAATTAACAACTAATTACCTAAAGCAAAATTTGAATATTAAAATTTGCTGAATTTGAATTTTTTTAATAAAAAATGAAAAACATGTTTATCAACGTATTAATCTTAGTGATTAAAAATTTTAATTTCAAATCTTATAAATAAAAAAATTAAAAAATTTTTTTTTTATAAAATTTAATTCAACTCGATTTTAAATTAATTAAATTCAAATTAACTACTAAATAATAAATGACATGGATTTGCTTACTTCCTTTGTTGTTGGAATTACGATTTTTTTTTTAAGAAAATATTTAATTTACTAATAATTAAATACAATGTATCCAAGATGAAATATCTTTTGTATTATCCAATCCACGATTGCCCACAATTCCAATGCTCACCTAACATGGCCAGATCATACCCTTTCATTTCTAGAAAAATCTATAAATTATTAAACTTATGGATAAGATTCTATCCACACCATCATTTTTTATTTTTTTCAAAACCCACAAATACTATAAATAAATTATTAATATTTTTTTAATTCTTACAATCAAAGTCAAGAGTTGTCAAAAATCTATTTCACATAGCTGTAAATTAAAAAAAGAAAGAATAATAAATTATAGACTTAGTTTATGTATATAAATATTTTTAAAAATTATATTTTAATATATAATTTCTTCTATCTTAAATTGTGGTTTTATTGTATAAAATAATATTAATTAATGACAAAATTTGATAATCTCTTAATTACATATAAAATAAAAAATATATAATCAGTATAATAAAAAATAATTTTAAAACAAATATTATCCACCATTAAAAAAGAAAAAGTATTAATTATGGGGCTGAAAATTTTGACAAAGTATTAGTTTTACACGTGGCAGAAACCCACCATTTTTGTTGTTTTACGCAAAAAGCGTTTATATAAGGGATCCCGAGCCGTGAATAAAAGTGTCAAATTTTCATGACTTCTCAAAAATTACTGAAAAAAGGAAAAAAAATTTAAAGCCCCTCTTTTCAATTCATACCCAAATTATAAAATCTCTCTTTTCTAATTCTTTTTTCAACCCATTTCATTGAATTTTTTTTTTTTTACGGCTTTAGATCTGAGAGCAAAGAACTTTTTTTGGGTTTTTTGTTTGAAGTTCTTTTGGTGTAAATTCTGAGTTGGGTTAAAAAAGACTTGATTTTTAGTTTTGGGATTTAATTTGTCTATCTCTACATCTTCAAAAGAGAAAATCTTTTTTTTTGAAGATTTTTAGGTGAATTTTTATTAGTTTTTCTTAAAAAAAGTTTGAATTTTTGGGTGGAAATGGATGTTTCGCTAATTAGGATTTCTTCTCAGACAAAGATCTGTAGAACAGAATTAGCGTACAGAGATTTAAGGTTTTGTTTTGGGAAAATTAATGATAAAAATAAAATATTGTCTCGAAAACCAAACAGTGTTTGTTTTGAGAGTCAAATTACGAGGTTGAGGAAAGCTGGGCTTAGATTTACGGTGAAAGCTGTCCACTCTGAACCCATTATCGAATCCAAGTCTTCAACAACACCCAAATCTGTAAGTTTCTTTTTTTTTTTGTTAAGCTTTTAATTTTTTAGTATTACTTTTGTTTGTTATTTCCAATTTGAGATTTTACATAATCAATATCATACATCATGAAACCAAGTTGTTTGAATTGTGAAGAAATTTGCTTTTTCAATATCAATTCTTTTTGAGGAATCAAAATAAAGATGGCAATCTGTTTCAGCATATTAATACCTTTTAAGTTTGTTTCAGTGATGGACTTAAGGCATTTGGATTTATATTCTGTATTATTTGCATTTGATTCTTGAATGTATGCAATTGATAGGCAATCATTCTTTATTGAAAACAATTCTGTCTCAAGTTCTTCGAGGTATCTGAAGATCATATAGGAGTTGTGGATGAAGTCATTTGTTTTAAAGCAACTTGTGGCTGAAAACATGGAATTCTTTTTTCCTCCTCCTAAAAGAATTGCATTTGATTATGCTGATTGTTGCAAATTTTGGTTATTTCAGCTTGATAGGTTAAGATTATTTGTTGGCCTGCCTCTAGATGCGGTTTCTGAGTGCAATACAGTAAACCACGCCCGGGCAATTGCAGCCGGACTAAAAGCTTTGAAGCTTTTGGGTGTGGAAGGTGTTGAATTGCCTGTCTGGTGGGGAGTGGTTGAGAATGAGGCAATGGGAAAGTATGACTGGTCAGGCTATCTTACTGTTGCAGAGATGGTTCAGAAAGTTGGTCTCAAGCTTCATGTATCACTCTGCTTCCATGCATCAATACAACCTAAAATCCCACTTCCCAAGTGGGTAATGCAGATTGGGAAATCCCAATCTAGTATCTTCTTTACTGATCGATCAGGAAGGTATTATCAAGAATGTCTGTCACTGGCTGTTGATGATCTTGCTGTTCTTAATGGAAAGACTCCAATTCAAGTTTACCAGGATTTCTGTGAGAGCTTTAAGTCTGCATTTTCACCTTTCGTTGGTTCTACAATCACGGTAAGAGGTTTTGCCTTCAAATAACTTGATCAAATAAGCCAATGTCTTAGACCCTCTTTTGGTGTACTGATGCTAATGGCTTCTATATTGTGGTTTTTCAGGGAATCTCAATGGGTCTGGGACCAGATGGCGAGCTCCGTTATCCCTCTCGCCACAAGCCTGCCAAAAGTGGCATAGTTACTGGAGTTGGGGAGTTCCAATGTTATGACATCAACATGCTTAAGCTTCTTAAGCACCATGCTGAAGCAAATGGAAAACCATTATGGGGACTAGGTGGTCCACATGATGCGCCCATTTATGATCAGTTACCCAACACAAATAGCTTCTTCAAGGATCATGGTGGATCATGGGAAAGTCCTTATGGTGACTTCTTCCTTTCCTGGTACTCAAGCCAGCTCATATCTCATGGAGACCGTTTCCTCTCTCTTGCCTCTTCAATTTTCAGAGATACTGCTGTGAATGTTTATGGGAAAGTCCCACTGATGTACTCGTGGTACAAAACTCGGGCACACCCTTCTGAACTGACAGCTGGCTTCTATAACACTGCCTCAAGAGATGGTTATGAAGCAGTTGCAGAGATGTTTGCAAAGAATTCATGCAAAATCATCTTGCCTGGGATGGACCTGTCAGATGAGCACCAGCCACATGAATCTCTCTCTAGCCCTGAATTATTACTTGCACAAATCAAAACCGCATGCAGAAAGCACGGGGTTGAGGTTGCTGGGCAGAACTTGGCTTCTGCCGCTCCTGGTGGTTTTCAGCAGATCAAGAAAAATATGTTGGGTGATAATCTGATTGACTTGTTCACTTTTCAAAGGATGGGAGCTCATTTCTTCTCACCGGAGCATTTTCCTTCATTCACCCAGTTTGTGAGGAGCCTAAGTCAATCAGAATTGCATTCAGACGATTTGCCTACTAAAGAGGAAGAAGCCACTGAATCTGTACATACAAGTTCAGACCCGAACATCCACATGCAAGCAGCATAGTGAGAGTTGAGACATTTATGTGTAGATAGTATTCTTGTTAGTACCAAAATATTGGATGGGGAAAAGATTGTACTATTTTGGCTGAGTACTGCATACATATCTAAGCAAATATTTTAATTCTATGAAAGGAGAGGTCAGTGACCTTTTAAACTTGTTTTTCCTGGGAGCGAAGCAGTGTTTGTATTTTCATATTATGCTGCAATTCTATTAAACTTTCCCTTTGCGACCAAGCAGTCCAATCTCTCTAACCATCCTAGTTTAGTCTTTTAATGTTTTTAATTTTCAAGCAACCATGGTTTTTGATCCCATCAATCAGGTCCTGAAGGGGGATTTGGTCCGGCTTTCCTGGGTTGTATCCTTGCTTTACTTCTTACGGCTTTTCTCAACTATTTGCAGTAGTAGATAATATTTTGCTGATAATATAACCCTACCGGGCTTTAGCAGAAGCTGTCAATAGACTCAGAAGCCATAGTCAATAAACCCTACTAAACTTTAACAATTCAAGCTTTGATAAAATGAAAATTTGAATAATGGAATAGGAGAAATAGTTACAGACGACTTGAATTTTTATATCACTTTTTAAAAATAATTAAGTGAATCAATTGAGTTTTTTTTTTTAGATTGATTTTTTTTTCTTTAGTTTTCATAATAGTCTGAAAAGGATATGGCAGTGGTTGTGGAGTGGGCTGTACTGCATGATGTACTCAAAACTCAGAGGCTTTTCCAAGACAAATACAAATTAGTTGAATAATAACATGAGCAAAGGAAGATCCTCATAAAAAAAGTTATTATATGTACATTACTGAAGAAGATAAATAGAACTTGGTCACCAAGTTACACTGTACTAACTCCCTATAAAATCCGAGCTGACAAGTTCAAGCCTTGAGATAATTAGCAGCTTTCTTCCACTTCAATCCCCAGCACTTGCATCTCCTTCGCCTTTCATCTTATCGCAACAATATTCATAAATTCCTGCTCATGGACAAAATGAGAAAATATGTTAGTATCATTCATAGAACCATAGATTTCAATTACTATGGTGTGCATGGTCAATTGCATGTAGTATTAGTTAGTGGGTAGCCTGACACACCCGAGCTCATAATCATCATTGGATGAGCAATCATTATTTGTCATCGTTACCATTAAACATTACAGGTCACAATGTGGCCCATCCATCAATCTCATCAAGCAATTGCAGACGTTTAAGCCAGTTGATTCAGTTTCATAGGTCCAGGAATTAAAACGCAATAAAGCAGTGGGTAGAAAAGATGAAAAGTTATGTTGGCAATGGGGGCTACTTCTTTTTCAGATAATTAAATACAAACCTTTTCACAATCATGCATCATTTACTCACAAGCAATCTTAGTGTCAAAGCTGCTGAGGCAGATAGCAAATGCTTGGAATGCAGAAATTGGATACCGGTAATCCATGGTAAACAAATCCTTCCCCACTTTTCCAAACTGGAGGATAATCTTATGTTCTGGCCCAGATGGTCCATTTTCTGGAGAAGCCACCAACTGAAAGTTTTTCACCGAAGCAACTGTAACTCGTCCATGGAAATTCAAGCACCAACATTGGAGTTGCTCATGCCACCTTGGAGCCTTATTTCTCAACACCAATGCACCATCCTTTTGACCAGACAAAGGTCCCGATAGAAAATTCTCCATTCTAGTTGATTTTGAATGAAAGATTGAGATTGATGGAAATATGTCCCTATTGCTGAGAGTGAACTCAGCCTGGGTGGGAGCTACTCCTCCTGGTCCTATCGAAGTGGCAGGGATGGTATCCATAATACACTGCATTCTCCGTGGACCCCTGGAAGTCATAAAAAATATATCTGTAGCAGCAACTTGTACGAGAAAGTGCACGGAGAATTTAAAGCATGGGCTAATCAATAATGATAGATCACCAATGCCTTGAGGAATCAGGCATTCTATTACCCCACACATGACAGAGAAAATAAGAAATTATCAAATCCTTACGCAAAATAATGACAAACTGTTACCTTGAACCTAACATATTCAATTCATATGAAATGTGAGCCATGGGGAAGTTGCCGAAAGGGGCTCTAGGTGAAACTTGTTTCAAATTTGCTAGCCTAGAGGAGCGACTTTTAGTCATCTTTGCACCAGCATGAGGTGGCTGTCCATCAAAGACAGTGAACTTGGTCCCTAAAAAATTTGATCTTTACCAAAACGAAAGCAAAACATAAGATTTGAGACTGCACAATAAGGTAAAAATGGGAACAAATCCACATAGTTTTGTTGGTTATGGCTCACTGCTCACCTCAATTTCCCAACATAAGTACTGCTCCCCCTTGACATATCCTCAGCCCGTAAAGAGATGATATAATCTGTGCAAGTAGGACGCCTACACTTGCGAGCAGCAAGAAGGAACTTTCCATCATCGGTTAGTGCTGACACAAAGAAATGAAAGAAAATTTCCTAAGTATAAGAGCTCAAGAAGGAAATATATGAAGATAAACATTGCCCCTAATCTAATCTAGCGATTGAATGGAATGATTATCCAGTTATAATGCAGAAAAGTATAATTATGGTTTTGAAATACATTGACAGCTTTGATTAAACATGCAGAAGAGCCACAAAAACAATATAAAAGAAGAAAAAAGCTCACCATTAGTTAACCCAAGGTATAGATGATATGTTTGGGTAGATCGATTCCGCTTTATAAAGCACTGGAGGAGACAATCCTTTGGACCAGGCTGCAAACAATCCAACACAAGTTTGTATGTCCAAAAATTAGATTCCAAAGACAGAAGACAGATAGCTGACCATGAAAATTTAAAATTAAAATGCTTGCATTCATAATAGTACTAGCAATTGATTCATCAAAACACACTCTTAAGGCTTTAATCCAATGTATACGGTAAAATGACAGTTGAAGAAAGAGGCTTTATTGGGCTTGGGTATTGGGTTGGGGGGGGGGGGGGGTAGCAGTTGGGTGCTGAAAGAGAAAGAACAGCACGCCATACAAAGGTAGCTTGGCTAATGATTACTGTTAGCCTGCACTGGTTGAAGCTAAAAGTGGTCCCAAGTCCTGGACCAGTCTTCAATGGAAGTTTGTCTAGTAAGTTACCACATAAAGGAAAACAATGATTAGGGGAGTCATGATGGTCCCAAGCACTTAATTGATGATAAACTTGCCCTGTCTAGTGGTGTAAATATACAGTAGACAAAAATAGTTCAAAGCCCATCCCCCATGCCAGAACCATATATATTTTTTTGGCCACAAATGCGAGAACTATATTTGAAGAAGCAAATTTGATCCAAAATTACCATTACATCTCTAATAACAAACGGATATGATTCTCAAAAAAGTTACCCAATTTGGGGAATTCGAAGGTACATTCATTAAGACTTTGTATCTAACTTGGAAATCATATCAGAAGGCATAAAAATTGGGAAACAAATCTCAATACAAGATTTCCAGGAACATAAAATCCCTAGAACACAGAAGACAATAAGTATAATCAGATTTATCATTACTATGAAAGATATAAGAAAAAAAAAAATTCTTGAGACAAAACCAGAACTGTAGAACACCTTTCCAAACATTGAATGAAGAAATTAAACAAAGAAAAATAACCAGAGAAGAAAATAAAACATTAGGAATCAAATCAAGTAACCCTGTTTCCAAACAGTGGATTGTAATTCAACTACTGTAATTCAACCTTCAATCTGCGTTCAATTATATCTCAAAAAAAAAAAAAAAAAAAGAAAGAGAGAGAACAAAATTAAAAGAACAATCTTTTTCACAAGTAAGCAAGTGATTGGAAACCATGATTTTTAGACAAGAACAGAAACAACAAGAAAGACAAAAGTTAAAACACCTGTTTAACTGAGATGGGAAAAGTTAATTTTCCTGAAAGTTCAGGAACTTTAACAATCTCTTTAATGATAATCCTCCAACTCCTGCAAACACCAGCACAAGCTACGACGTTCTTCCTTTGAGGCCAACTAGTTTCAGAGTCTTCAATCCTTAACAAAACTTCCCTTAATAGTTCCTGCGGCAGGTTGGCCCAGCAGCAACCACCGCCAACCGCCACTTGGTTTGCACCTTCCAGTTGGTCTTGAACCACCCGGCGTGATCTTAGCCTAGTAATGAAATTTATTGTCATGAATAACGTTAAAAAGTATGACAAAAAAGAAAAAAACTTAAGCTTTTGTTGGTGACAGACAAGGCTTAGTTGTTTATGTTTTGTTTTGCATGAAAAGTTGAGAAAAGGGTTGTAAGAAAATGAGAAGATGCTGGGTTTTTGCTGCTTTTTATGAGAGTCGGGTTTGGGATTTGGATTGAAAAATGAAAATTCAAGTTTGGAAGTTTTCAAATGTTTTTGAGGAAAATTGAGAAAAGTTGTTCAGACTTCAACAGATACAGACAGAGAAAGAGAAGTAATATGAAAGAGGCGTTGTTTTGGAGTAGCTTTTAGAGGTTTTTTTATGAGGGAAAGTTTTGTGAATTTCCCCTTTTGTAAAGAGCTTCTTTTGGGAAATTATATTTAAAATATATGTTTTAACAAGATTTGTCTAAAATAAATTTCTTATTTTTTCCTAAACAGCGTTGGATTGAATTGATTTTTTTTAGATTTTTTAAAGATAATTTAGCCGCATCAATTTCATTTTTTAATTCATAAGTTTTTCATGTATAACTCAAATTAAGTGTAAATGAGATTAATTCAAAATAATTAGATGAGATTTTTTTATATAAAAAGAAGGAAAATCAAAACAACTTTTCGAGAAAAATATTTAATAATTATTAAATCAAATGTTTAAATATAATAAAATTTAGACTAATATGAAATTAATTAAGTGTTATTTTAATAAATTATTTAAAAAAAATGTTTGGACTTTGACAAAGCCAAATAAAAAAAGAGAAGCAATACCTTTAGATAAAGAGTATAAATAATATATTAATATTTATAAGTTATTTGAATTTGGTTTAGATAAAATATAATTTTAATTTTATTATTATTGAATCAAATTCAAGCAATTCGATTTATCACATTAATCAAATTAAAATATTATAAAGTTTGATTTTAGCTCATAAATTTAATCGAATTTTTAAATTTAAATATATTTTTATTATTTTAATTAAAAATTATTAATATTATTATTATTATATATATATATCACTTTGAGTTTTAATTTGAGTTCAAATACATAATCAAGTTTAAAATTAAATATAAAAATTAAATTTATTTTTATTAAATAAACTTAATAGAATGAACTCAAATAACTTAATTTTTATTTTAAATTAAATTTAAACTTAAAAATTGAAATGTGATTGAATTAGAATCCAATTTCAAACAACAAATTTTGAATCAAATTCAAATGTAAATTTTTTATTATATCAATTTGATTCGACTCAATTACAATAATTTTTATAAGAGAAAGTTTTGTGGATTTCCCTTTTTTTGTAAAGAGCTTCTTTTGGGAAATAATAATTCAAACCTCCCTTTCTGTACTTTTGTAAACTAAGGCAATAATAAAAAATTATCATTTATATTGAATAAAAATTTTACTATAAGTATATTGATAATTTTTCTTAATTTATTAGTATATTTTCTAATTTAGTTTAAATATAGTCAAATATTAAAACATTTTATAAAATAATTTTTATTTTTATAAATATTTTTATCATTAATTTTAAATTTTCAAATATATTAAAAATAAAATGATAAATTTACACTTGTCCAAAGATAAATAATTTCATCTCTATTTTTTTAATCAACTAGACCAATTTGAATGTTTCATTAACAAATCATAAATAAATTTTAGATTAACCACAACTATAGAGTAATAGTAGTATTTATTGTTTGTTTTCATATTTTATTAAGGTCATAAGATTGTACTTAACACAATTTTCTTTCTAACACTTTTAACTAAAAGTAATAAAAATTTAAAAAAAAGGTAGAAAATAGATCTTTTTGAATTATCTAAATAATTTTAAGATTTTTTATATAAAAAATAGTAATTTGAAATAAAAAATATAGATATAGAAATTTAAACTTTAAATTTATTAAATATTATTTTTTAAAATAATTATATAAATTAATTACACTAAAATTTTAGATTGACCTAATTAATTTTATTTTTGAGCAAATGATCTAATGACGTCAAAAAAATTTTTAAAAAAAGCAATAGAATTTGTCAATTGAAAGTATTATTAATTATTTAATTTATTATTATTTATTTGTTTTATTATTATTATTATTTATTATTGAAAGTGCCTCCTCGTCAAACCGGCGGAGTTGATTGTATTTGGTTGGAAAAGAGCAATTTGCCGTTGTTTTAAAAAAATAATTTTTTTATAAAATATCTTTTTTTACAAGATTTATCTAAAATAAATTTCTTATTTTTTCTAAACAGCTTTGGATTGAGTTGATTTTTTAGATTTTTAAAGATAATATCGCCACATCAGTTTCATTTTTTAATTAATAATTTTATTATCTTATTCATATTGGTCCCTCCCGTATAACTCAAATTCCACATAAATGAGACTAAGTCAAAATTATTATATGAGATTTTTTTTATATATTAAAAAGAAATTCAAAACAACTTTTCGAGAAAAGAAAACATATATTAATTATTCTATCAAATGTTTAAATATAATAAAATTTAGACTAATATAAAATTAATTATTGTTTTAATAAACTTTTTGAAATGAATTTTTTTGTCATGATTTAAAATGAATATTTTAATTTATAATTTATAATTTGATAACTTATTATGTTATGTTAATAAAATATTTAATTTTTAATTTGAATTATTAAAATTTAAATTTAACAATTTAAAATTAAAAAAAAAAGACATTTATTCTATTGTGATATAAAATATTAATAAAATATTATTAAAATTTTGACTATACAATAAGTTAGAAATTATCAAGAAAGCAATTGATTTATAAATCTTAATGTATATACATATTTAGCGATCAAGACAACCTTAAGAAGATATTAAAATTATGATTCGATCTCAATCTCTCCCTTCTCTTTTATTATAGGACTTTATCTCTTAAAAAAATCAAAAAATATATATTCAAAAAAAAAGAAAAAAATTATTTCACCATTGTTTGCCAAATAGATATGATGTTGAATTAGAATCTTAGGATTCTTTTTGTACATTATTTTTCTTGTTTTTGAAGCTTCCTCTCAAATTGAAGAAAGATCAATGGTCATTGCCCAATTAATAATTTTCCATTAGGGTTTGGTAATTGGTAGGACAATATAAAAAGTCTCCATCATCTCTTCTTGTATAACACTCATCCAAAATGGTCAATTAAAATCATTTGGCTTATCTAAAATGCAAAGGGAAGTTGGTGATGTGAGACTTTTGGACCCACCCCCTCAATAATATCCCTAATTATCTTTCTCAACGCTTTTTATATTTTGAATCTCAGAATTTCAGTCAATTGTTGGATGCCACAAAGGGTTCATAACGTTTTCTCATCACACATTATAAGGAAAGGAATTGTTGCTATTTTGAGAAGGATTTCGGGAATGAAATTCTAAAATCAATGTGTTGATGGTATAAAAAGATTGATGGAGAAAAGAATTAGATTCAAACAAAATAAAAGTTGCAGATAAAAATAATATAATATTATCAAATTGTCAATGGAATCATATTTGTGAGATGGATATTTCAAATCTACATTCCCACGAGCAGAATAAAGCCAAATAAATCAAAAAAATTAAGAAAAATACAAGATTTGATACTTTAAGTTCGAACTTCAATAATTCAAAAAATAAAAAATATTTTTTGTACGGATATGAAATCTGTGACATATACTGTTTAATGTAATTTTCATGAACGTGGGGAAAAGCATAATGACTTTTTAAGGTCGCAATATGGGTGCTCATTCGAAGGAAGAAAAATGGTGGCATTCTTGTATGGATTGGAACATTCAACCCAACTACCGCTAATGGTGGTTTTGCTTTTGAAAAGCAACATGACAGGTGCCTCATTCTTTTTCTTTTTCAACTTGTGATAAAATAAGCAACTCTTTCATGTCTCGGTTCCATGGCTTATGGTTTGATTAAAATGTTTTTAATCATTTTCCCTCACAACTCAACAAATAATGCAAAGAACCTTTGAGGTAATAGTCCAGTATTAACATCGGGAGATGAGAGATTCAAATCTAACTTTCTTTTGATCACATTAAATCCATCGCATTATTCAACTCAAAATAAAAAGTACGTCCCAAATAATTTTATTGATTACATTAGAAATTAGTATCAAAAGAAAATTATAAATTCGAGTTTAAATTATCTCGGAAAGAGATAAAAAAAACTCTTTATTTGCTCAAATCTAACTCTTCCATAAAAAAAAAAAAAGTTCTAATTATTAAGTCAAATATCCTCTAAAAAAAAAAAATCAAGATTGCATACGTAAAAAAGAAAAATCAAACATTAACCCAAACCTTTAACAACAACAAAAATCAGTGTGGGGTAGTATTAAATCAATGTTATTATTAAGGTTTCATTGCAAGAGCAACGAGTTTTTGAGTTTAGAAGAGCTGGAGCTAGATTTTATACAAGAAAAGGTACCTTTAAAAGAAGGCGATCGTTCTTGGAACCCTCTTTTGTCTAATCTAGTTAACAGTGTCATGCATGTGAAATGGAACTCTCCTCCTTTTCAGTTGTTAATTCACAATGTTTCAGGAAAGAGGCCGAGCACCAACCATATTCACCGTATGAAACAGTACGACAAAGGTAATAGATATGAAAAGTCTCTTGTTAAAGCAGCTAAGCCTCCTTCCTTCATACCTTCGCTTGCCCCCACACCATTTCAATTTCGTCCACGACACATTGACAATGTGATCAAATAACGTTTTCAAGTCTCAACAACTTGATCCAATTGCAAATGAGAAAGCAAACCACCAAAAATGAGAATAAAATCAATTTTTGTTACTATTTGAATTTATATCATACTTCAATTGCGTTGAAGTTTAATAATTATACTTTTTATTTTATTGCAAAATATAAGGTAATTGATAAAAATTTATCGAAATATTTTATTTTTAATATTTTTTATGCAAAAAGCAACAAAATTAATGATGTAATAATAAAATTCAATATTTCAATATTTTTATATTTAAAAATATCCAATATTTAACCATGATCAACGAAACTATTAGTGCAACACTCCCCCCTCAAGCGATTACAAAGCTATTGACCAAAAACTCAATACTCCATAATATAATGACAATTTTTATCCGAATGCATTTTACCTACAATTCCAATTTTCCCTTGGTTCCAAAAAAGATAAAGTGGTGTTTGAATATTTCTGATTTATGGACAAAACTGAAAACAACTGGTTCTATCGTGGGAGACCCACGTCTCAATTTTCACTGTAACCAAGAACAATCGCAAGAAACCCCCGATCAATTGCAGCGTATGTCATTATCAAACGACAGAATCGATTACCTCCAAAAAAGACATTCTTTTATCAGAACAAATAGCTTCCCACTTGTATCGAGCCACATCAACAATCCAGATTTTTCTTTTTTTGCTTGTCGCTTACTGGAAATTTCCACAAAACAATTTAAGTTAATGAAAGTTAGGGACATTTAACTAACCCCGGCACAAAGACAGGAGGCTGTCCAAGTCTGTTGCTATCAAACCATCGTCAATTGCCACTTTCACTAGAATCAGTGGAATTTGCTGGTGGCAACTTTCCAGGCTCCGCTCTGGCAAACCCTGCTTGATTTTCTAATTGAACTGGAGCACCATGTCATAGTCCTACCAACCTTCATTAGCTGCAATACAATCAACATATCTTGAAAGCTAATAGCCAAATCTTATACTCCTTACCTCAATGGCCTCTTAGGGGACTATACATACAATCCTTTCCTTTGTATTTCTATCAGTTTTTTCAAAGTGGAGAATTAGACCTAGCCCCAGATCTTGCAATGTGGGTTGAGATACAGAAAGAATAAATGGATATACTATGGGGAGCAGGTGGATAATAGAATCTAGAACACATAAAGGGGGGGAAATGCATAAAGCAGCGCTCGAACGGACCTGCTAGCAAAAGCCATTAAAAGATATTTACTTTATTTCCATCAAAATATAAACAGAGGCCAGGTCTCAAAGTGTAATTTAGAAAGGCTAGAATGAACAATTGAAGTGACATGCTTTTCTAGGTTTTCAAAAATGGATCCTAACTCTCGTGTATGGCTAAATACACATTTTGCGTAGCAAAAATCCAACGCAGGACTTTCTATACAACAGGAACAATTCCATTTGGAGGCTGCATGGGCCCGGGCAGTTTGCCTGCAAAAAATCAAACTAATAGATGATTCATAAAAGAAGTTAAAATTTTTATCAACAATCCAACTAAGTTAGTAGACTACCTGAGTTGCCTGCAAAAGAATAAGGTTTGGAAATATAATTGCTTCTTGTTAATCCAACAGAAGCAGCCTGAGGCATTGGAATATTACCAATTGGATACTGATTCGAAAAGTCATTGGAAGGTGGGCACCCCAATGACTTACTCGGGCATACTTCTGAAGTTTGAGCAAGAACTTGATCACGTTTCTGCAGAGAAGACTCTTGCTGCATTTCAAGGAACAATATACTAGTCAAGTTTTTCAGTCCTCATCAAAGAATTCAGGGGATTGCAATGCAGTAAAAGAGTCACAGTAATTTATCATGTAAACACAAATTTATTTGTTTATTTATTTGAGGAGACAAATTTATTGACCTAATACATCTATTTAGCAGATATACAAGCCATTCAATTCCCATAGCATTGGTTCATCTAGATGCACAAAACATATGAATCATACAGGGCATGTAACACGGCAATCCATAGATCTTGAAAACCAGTGCTGGGTCTCATTGTTTTCAACCCTAATAGCTTCAAACAATAAGCATTGATATGTTGTCCCTTGATGAACATTCTCCTGTAGGAATGAAAGCATTCCTCTGATTCTTAAGTGAAGGATGGGATCTAGAAGATTTGAGGAAAATTAACGACTAGGTATCTTCTGAAAGTTATATCAATGACCCCCTTTTCTGTTATTTTCTTTTTTGCCCTACCAAAATTGGAACAATAATTTGAGATGGAAACTCAAGATTAATCATAAAAAACGATTTCTCTACCTGTGGATTTTGAAGATTTAAAAGGTAACTCCATTGCATGAAGAACAGGAATCAACATTCAATATATTATATTGTTCATTGATTTACGTCCTTAAGCAAGTCACTTTCCAATTCACTCAAAACCAACCCAGATGGAGGAGGAAAGCCTCAAGTAGCATAGTTAGTAGGAACAAACCTTCTGGACAATCAGATTATCCACCTGCTCGAGAGGACAGACCCCCTGAGATGAAGCCTGTAACAGCATTGTGCTTTGCTGTGATGCTTGTTGACTAACCATGTCACTGCAAAGTTCTTTGGTTGATGTGACAAAATACTGATGACTAAGCGCTAAGCGAAGACGACTGTTTCTTTGAGAGTAATACATTTTGGTACTAAGAGGAACTGGAAGATCTGATTTAATTGCAGACACACAGAAAACTCAAGGCCAAGAATGAAAAAAAGGAAGGTCCAATACAACATTCAGAAGCTACTATAGACAGCTAAAAGCACTAAGCTTTACCTTTTGTCAGCAGACGGTGCTCATGGGCTTGCCTATCATTAGGTGTTTCACTTCCAGAAACTGTTCCTCTTGGAGAGTCCCTAGCTGCAAACATGCATGATAAACATTAATGCATGTGTAACAAAGAGCAACAATTTGGTAATATGAGTCTTTTGTGAGACATATATCTGTACTCCATAATCTTGATTCAAAGACACACCTAAGGTTCTAATATAAAACATCCAAACTCTTATCATGAACCAAAGCCTTCTGCATTAGCTAAAGGCTAGAGAGAGTGTCCTGCTGAGAAAATTCAGGAAATAGAAAGACAACAACAAATTCAATCTGGCCTTACAGATATATAAGTCCTGAGTATCTAGAATTTTTGTCACACCAGAAGCTGTTTTTGGATCATCTGGCAGGGGAAGACGCTCACCGGATATCCTACAAAATGGAAAAAAAGAAGCAGCATTATCAACTGCAAACCAATAAGATCTTCCGTAAGAATAGCAACAACTTGAACAATGAGAGATATCCCACTTACTAAGAAAAAGAGGCACAACAAAAGCCTCAAAAAATATTACAAATAGAGCATTTCTTAAAAGCAATCATCCCCAGGCTTGGAGACTGGAGAGAAAAAGAAACGTATCAACCTAAATATGCCCTTGACCAAAAAAAAAAAGGCATATGCTCAGCCACTTAAAATCTTTCTCCAATATTTGCATTCATACACTCAATGATTAAGCTACCGCAAAAAGAATACACCAATACTCTCATCCCAAAAAGAAGGAATGAGAAAAGAAAAGAGAAAAACTGGTTCCTGGAAACCGTATACTGGGTATAAGATCAACATTAATGAAAAGAAAGGAAATTACAAAAATACTAAGGTGCAATTGTGTTTCAGAAAAGACACTTCTATAGTGCTAAACTATAAAGTAGATATAAAATTTCAGATAAATGTACTATTAAGAACATGAAAAAACAAAAGGGAAAAAAGAAAAGCCTACAATTTAAAGCGTTTTGTTGAAGGTGGCATTACAGAGGTCGAGTGGTCTGTATTCTGGGGACTAACTCCTGAGCCATCCATCACATAAGCAGTATCTACACAAGTAGAATTTCCTAAAAGAAAAAGGAAAATGATGCATCAAGCTCAAATAATGAAGCACTTGCTGCAATTCGAGAACTGGCATGTAATAAGTAAATAGGCCGCCATTTAACATTAGACATATTACCTCACAAAATCATAATGTTAAAAGGGGTGAAGGGAAATAAAGAGAGTAAGAGAAACTCAACAACATTATCCACTTACTTTTTGAATCCATGGTTACAAAAGAAGTCATTCCAATTTGCCCATCTATGTGGAAATCTGGACCCATAGTATCACCAGCATCAATAATTTCGGATTTTTCCTGCTCCCCAACTGGTGTAGGTTGGTCTAAGAGAGGTTAAGAACTATGAAAATATGAATCAACAAGGAAATATTAAGTTTCCTGTAATCAAACCAAAAATGTTAAGACACTTCTTAAACATAAAGCACAAGACAACAAAATATGAATTTTCATCAAAGAAAAACATCTAAAACCGTTTTCAGATACTTTTGATACTTATTTTCTAGAAAAAAAACAAAACTAACATTAAAATTGAAGACCAAAATGTAACAAATTGAGCAATAGGAGTTTGAAACTTAACAACGAAGCAAACAAAATACTGAAACACATTTCAAAAAAAAAAAAAAAGCTGAAAGAAAGGATACTAGCATAAGCAGCTAGTGACTTCTTCCTTTCCTTCCTTGGAGGTTTCCTATGGCCTGTACTACCATCAAGCTCCAAAGTAGTTTCTTCTGTGGCTTTTAATGACCGACAGAGTTCTGGAAAAATTAGAGGGAAATAAAGAAACAATTTCAGTGAAGCACCATCAACACACCACTTAAAAATTCAAAGCTAGTTGTCCCAAACTAGAGAAACAACACCAAATGTAGACAATAACATTATAAATCCCTTATTCATACAGCTTGTAGAAAGATCATAGAGAACAATAATTTTTGATTGACAACAGAAATTACATTAAACATGGATAAATGCCTATCAAAATTATACACAATAAATTAGCCTTAACTTCAATTCCAGGAACAGGATTCATATATTGCAAAATTTCTTTAAGCGCCTAATATCGTTTGAGTTAATCATGGACGATAAAATTTGGGAAAGTTTGGTTACAAAGGTAAATGCCTCCAAACCTGCATGAGCTGCATATTGACTGGCCTTGACTGGCTTCTTACAAGCATTACAACATACCTTCATAATTATATTAAACAATCAGGTAAGAGTACAAAACTATTGTTGGTATATCTACAACTGATAAATAAAACAACAAGCTGACAATATAAAGGGTAAATTTCTACTTAAAAGTAAAAACAAATAAAGCACACTTTGGGATGCTACAAAGACAATTTGGTAACCTAGGAAGTAAAAGGTCAGCAACATGGTGAGTATTCTCAGATGACAAGGTTACCACATTTTCTGGCATTTAATTAACCATACATTTATGAAACCCCATGTAGGCTCAATGGTTAGGAAATTTCTTTATTGATTTAAGACTATACATCAGCAATCTGAACCAAATGGAGGGAGAATTGGCAAAGGTATCATAGATACAGCTGTGAGGGAGAGCATAAACAGAAAAAAACTCTTTACATGAAGAGTTTTATAACATGATATCAAAGAGAACTGAAATGCTAAAATGGAAAAATGACAGCTCAGATAAACTTACCAAATTCAAAGGATCAGTCATGGGCTTCAAACCAAAGACATCCATATCTGTGAGAAAAACATCAACAGGCCATCATAAACTATGAACAAAACATTTATCTTGATCACTGCTAAAGGATCATATAATTTAGTGTAAGAGAAACATTATTAAACTGAAAGACCAATAAAATAAGCATGAGTCTGCACATAAGTATCACCTTCTTCATCCAGTAGATTTGCCTCATCTGCCCCACGTAATTCTCTGTAAATGTATTGAATAGCTAACTTTTGATTGCCAACATCCTCTGTCAAGGGTTGAGGACAATGTAAATACCATGTTGTTTGACAAATTTAACCAACATCTCCAATTCATTGTAAACTGTCAGACCAAAACTAATCTAAACATCTTCCTGGTGAAAGCAATAAATGGTCAAGTTTAACATGTGGCTATTTAAATTAGATAATGTAATTTCTTTCATATTATTTTAACAGTGAATTAGGAGTTTTACATATCTAATATACATGATTGAATAAGACCAAGAGAGAGAGAGAGAGAGAAAACAAGAAAAAACAGAACAACAAATACATGGATCAAAAGTGTGATAAATTCATTGAGAAAAAACAAAAGTTGTGAGCTCCTTTTACATGGAGGAGCAGAGTTATTAATAATGTACCACTGACTTCCCTGTAATAATTACAAATAATTTCTGAGAAAGAAAGAAGAGACTAATCGCATGGCACAAATACAAGTATAAAATTACACATTTATCTACCATTAATTTATCCATAAAGCATGACAATGGCGTAAAAGATAAAGGGATGAAACTAAGAAACGAGAGTTGCAAAATTTTCTTTTATTATTTATCGTGTATCACTCCATTCTACAACAATGTATTTCACTAGCTACAAATAACTTGCAAACTTAGACCACATCATTTCAACTTGAGCATGCAAACAAGGAGTGCAAAATATTAAACTTTGTATAACACATTGGATATTGACTACTGAGACCCATATCATACATATTCCAATATTTCAATACTGTTAAGTCATAAAGTACCCGCTGTATTCGGTGAGATGCTTCCTGCTCCAAGAAGCGTAGCCATAACGGCCATTCTACCACTTCCAAGTGAGCATACCATTGGGACAAAAAGTTAGCTCCAAATCTATACACTGCAATAAACCATGCCAGCTAAAATCACCACAATATTAATACAGCAACATTTGTCAAATCAAAATATAGCACCAAAATTTTAAATATAGCAATAATAATTAATTCCACGCGCATAAAATTTAATGATCATGCAAAGTTGTACATTATTGACCTTTTCTTTTTCCTATTAATTGCTTCAAAGAATGAAATTTTAAATAATTGAATGAGGATCAAATCTCCAAAAAATGTGATTAAAAAAATTAAACACAAAACAGGTGAAAATCATACACATTGCACACATTCAACAAATATACGCAGTCATGAAATTCAAAATAAAGCAAGAAAGAGAGATTATTCTTCGTTCAAAAACCAAAAAACCCTCTAATTAATATCAGACGGCCAAAATAAAATACAGAATCAATAATGACAAAAATAAATAAACTCACCTCGATCTATACAAGAAAAAAAAAAGAATCTCGAGAAAACCCTAAAAAAGCGGAGAAATTTAGAATTCGATTTAGCTCTCAAAACAATGCGACGATCCCGATGCAATGTGAGTGAAACAAAGGTAGGTAAAGGTAAAGCAAGAGCTGCAATGGCGGAAATGGAAACCCTAGGAGGAGAGAGAGTAAGGAGATCGATTTTTTTCTTTTATCTAAAAAAAGAAAAATATATATATGCTTTTCTTTTTTGGTGCTTATTTCTTTTCTTTTTCTTTCTTCTTCTTTTCTCTCCTCTCAGAGGAGAGAAGAGAAGAGGTGGCAATTTGGCAGAGAAAAATTTGGGAAGAAAAAATAATGAGAGAAAAACGGTTTTTGGATTTTGACGTTGTGTTAACATATGCGCAGTCGGTTGTATTGTAGAAACGTGGTCCGTGGCGCACCGGATAAGCGGCTGTTTCAGCCACTTTAATTTGAAATTTTAAAATATTAGTAAAATAATATGTGTTTTGGGCCGGGTATAAATTATTGACTAATTTGAAATCCGTATTGCTAAGGAGGCCTTGGGCTTCAAAGTGTGTGGATGATTTGTTACATAGGGCCGTTGATAAAGCTGATATCCCAAAAAAAAAAAAAAAAAAATGGTTGATTGAACCATAAAAATTAACACCATGTTTGTTTGGGGGAATCGTTATTCCTTTTGGACCTTTCCCTCTTTAATTTTGAGGGTAAATCTCGAAATGGCTATTTTGTTCTTCAAGGATTAGACATCATTTTTTTTTTTTTTTTTTTACTTAATTTCAATCTTATACTAATCTAATAACAAAAAATTCTTTATGCCACCATAAATTCATTGTTAGAAACTTCATCCAAGACCAAAAAAAAAAAAAAAAAAGCAATTCAACTCTAAATATCATGTTAACATCGTCATTAGATTTTATCATGATTTTTTTTATTAAATTCATATATAATAAAACTTTAATTCAAATGAAAAAATTTTAAGATTTTCTCTTTATTAATGAAACAATGTCACACGAGCATAGCTTAGACAAATCTAAAGTAGAATTGAATCATAACATCCCCACTTCTCTTAGTTGTACTTGGTTGTTATCAAATGAGAATGGGAAGAAAAAAAAAAAAAAAAAAGGAATACCAAGCTTGTGACATGTGAACATTTTGATGATAAAATCCAGTTAATTGTTCCAATTTTAATGTTTTTTTTTCCCCTTGAAATCCTTGTTCTAAAGTCTAAATCATATGATAAGATTAGTCTTAATTGAAAAAAAAAAAAAAAAAACCATTCCACCGATGTGATGATGAAAATGACTCTCTACAGTAACTGCTTTTTAATATTGTACCCAAAACGACAGTATACCAACTTCATTTTGTTTCATGCTATGAGCAATACTTATCATATTTACCGTGGGACTTACTGAAAGTGATAACACCATTTGGTATGGCAATGTACGACAAAATTGTATATGAAATGATATTCAATAATCCAACATGACAATTTTGATTTGAAAAAAAAAAAAAAAAAAAACTCTACTTGTCATGGTATTGTCGTATTGATAACTTTGTTCACATATCATATGAAATCCACAATTCTAATATACGACAAGGATTTAGAAATTTACGTACTTTTTTATTTGCATAATGTAGAATTTAATTTAATGAAAAACCATGGAAAAGTAAAAATGTCAACTCAAAAGTAAGAATAATCCTCAACAATTGACTAATAAAAATTTATTAAAATACTCTAAATTCAAGAAGATATTCTATTTATTCCTATTTAAATATTTTATTAAATAAAATTAGCATCTAAAAGCAAAAATTGTTCATAAAATCATAGATAATATGAAGCAAATCACCTATAATTCTTTTTATTATAAATTACAGTTATCAAATTATAATAAAAAATTATATAAAAATTCATCATTTATAAATAAAAAATTTACATAAAATTGTGATAGATTACATATTATTTTTAAATTGTTTAAATTGTGATTAGTTAATTGTATTATAATTATTGTAAGTGAAATGTTCTCAATTAAATTGATAAAATTCTGAAATTACAAAATGTAAAAAAAAAATTCAAATTCAAAACTTAATTTAATTTATTTATGTAATTATTTTAAAAATAATATGTAATAAATATGAAACTATGATCTCATTTATATAAAAATTATTATTTATATTTCTATTCATCATGAGTCACGACATAAAAAAAAAATATTAATCAACATAATCAAAGCCATCGGGAAAAAGAAAAAGTCAACCAAATCGACATGATCATGCTGCTGGAATCCACGCCCATGCGAGTGGCTGGGCAGACAAAAAAACCCCACGGGTGGGGAGAGTGCAAAATCAAAAGAAAAAGGAGGAGCCTACCAGTTTAGAGTCCACGTGGCAGCCATGTGGACCGTGGGATTCATCATGCGTTTCTCCCACTGTGATTAAAAAGTTGGACAATGCTGTCGGCATTATCTGAGCCGGTAATCATGCCTTGTTGCCTTAAATTTCCACAAGAGTAAGTAAATCACCAGCATCCGTACCTTCTTCTTTTGTTAAAGTGTGTTCGTAAACATTGTTTCTACGTATGGTCATTATGATCATAGCCGTTCAAATTTAAAATCATGAAAAGAAAGGAAATGTGGGTTCCTTTGTCTAAAATAAAGACGCTTTTTTTTTTAGATTGATGTAGCGTTATTAATTAGTAAAAGAAAGTGGGATTTAAGGAAAATTATCTGATAATCTATTAGGTTATATACTTATATTACGAAATTAAAGCGGAATTTCTTATTATAGTATAATTAAATATTGAATTTTAACATAATACTTTAATTTTAATGGATTTTGTCTTTATATTTTAGTCTTGTTGATTTTAGAAAAAAAATAATAAAATTAAAAAATTTTACAAAATATTTTGTTAAAGCAAATGAAAATTTTTGTCACTTTATTTTTAATTTCATTGATTTTTAGATAAAAAATAACAAAGTTTAAATATATCACAAATTATTTTATTAATAAAATGATAGGTTTTCATCAATTAATAAAATATTATTTTGCATAAAAAATCAACAAAATAAAAATCAACAAAATAAAAAATACAATGAAAAATTCAACAAATTAAAATAATTGATATAATTCAATAATGATTGGTACTAATGTGGTAATTTGATCTTAATCCAATTACTAATAAAACTCTATTAACAAAGTAAAAAGATTATCATATATCTAATTAAAATATAATTAAATAATTATTATTTGATTATCAATAAAATCTTTTATTTGAAAAAGAGATTAATCAAATCTTGTTTTTTAGTAAAAAAAAAACATCAATCAAATGCTCAAGCGTTTCATTAGTTAATTTTTGATAATTTTTTATTTATTGTATTAATTTATTAAATATATTTTAATTGAACATGAGATAAGCATAGTTATCAGAATTAGATTAGACTATCGGTCCAATTAGATGAACCAGTGAATCATGCTGAAATTGATTTAATTTTGTAATTAGATCAATTTTGTAATTAAAGTATTTTAAACCGTTATAAACTTGCAGTTTACATAATAAATTAATAAATCGAATGGTTTTATTTTTTATCAGACTGATTTAATACTAACTAATAAATTTAAATAAAATATGAAGAAAACACTTTAAATATTCAAAATAATATAATTAAACTCTTATACTACTATTTCATATAAATAAACCTTTCAATTCTTATTTTCTATTATCAAAGCTCTTGCATTTTTATATTAATAATATTTTGACATATTTTGAGACATGTGGATAATAATATTGTAAAAAAACTTATACATATATAAAAATAAGCAAATTTCAAAAAAAGATGATCTAATAAAAATTTTTATTAATTGATACCATAATTAAAAATAATTATAAAATTAATAAAAAAATAAAATGTTAATAAAAATGATTAATTATTTGATAATGATAAAAAATAATTAATAAAAAATGTATATATATAATTAATAAAAAAATTCACATTCACATAAAAAATATAAAAATGATTTTAATTTATTTTTTACTAATTTTCATATAAATATAAATATTTATTTTTTATTAATTTTATATATAAATATTTCTTTTCTATTACGTAAAGATTAATTATTATATGCTAATAAATATAAATATTTATTTTTATTACATAAAGATTAATTATTATATACTAATAAATAATAATTATTTATTACTTATTATTTATTATATTTATTAAAATATAAAATATGATTTTAATAAAATGTTAAGTAATTTCATTTATAACTAGTAATTAACTGTTTTATGAAATTTATATTTTAAAATTTATAATTTATGATATACCTTAAATTTTATAGTTTTATAGTTGAATTATTAAACTATAATTTTAGTTAAAAATTTAAATTTAAATTTTAAAATTTTAAAATATTTATATTTTTTATAATATTTTTTATTAAACTAACAGTTAATCCATTGATTCGATAATTGAATCATTAACTCGATAACTCTAAACTTTGAATAGTTTAATGTCCGATCAGATTATGATAAATGGAGATAAATGATAATTATCTCATTTCACTTTAAATGATATTTTTTATGTAAAACAATTCATAAATTATTAAATAAAAAATTGATACCGCATTTTTTTGGCATTATTGAGTTACTAGCATTTTCTATTTACAAATTACTACTGCGACGGACTTTTTTTTTTTTTTGGAGTTTTTTTATACGGGGTACTAATTAGTAACGGCAATCAAATCCGTTTTCGATGGGTTTCGATCCAACCTGATTTTATGAAGTCGATTTTTTTTTTTGAAATTCAGATTTCGAGTCGAGTCAAGTAATGTTATGAAACAATCGGGGTCGGATTGGGTTCGAGTTTGCATAAAACCCGATCCGATCCGATATTATATAAAAAATTATTTTTAATTAATTATTTAATTATTTATTTATATATATATTTATATAATGATATTTTTAAATATTTATATTTAAAAAATAATATTTTATATTTTAAAAAATAATATTTAATTAATTTCGGATCGAATCAGGTACGATTTATATAGTATCAGGTCGGGATCGGGATCGGAGTAGGTATGAAAAAACAAAAAAAATTTGAATAAGATCAGATTTGAATTTAATACAGCATAAAGTCGGGTCGGGTTCGAGGTGAGCAAAACCCACCCCGAATCCGACCCGATGCCAACACTAATACTTATATTGATTTTTAATTTTTGATTTTTTTTTAATTTTTAAGTGATTGACGACCTTAACGAATTTGCATGACACTTGACATGATTTGTCATAAGAAAAAAATGATTGAGATAATATTTTTGTGTATTTTTTAAATTTTAAATAAATTTAATAATTTAATAATTTATATTATAAAAAATATTAAAATTTATGTATTTATATTATATTTTATATAAAAATTAAATATTATAATTCATATTAATATAAAATATTAAATATATTTTTTTATTTTATTAAATTTATATATTTATTATTAAAATTTTAAATCATATAATTTTTATCTCGATTATTATATTATATTTTAAATTATTAAACGTATTGTTAAGTCAACAAAATATGCCAAAAAAAAAAAAAAGAATAACTATGAGAGAAGGGTTAGATTAAAAGTGCCGGGAGCATCTGGAATTAGGGAATATATCACCTGTTTTGTTACATTTGTTACTGACGTGGCAATCAACGTCCGTCAAGGTATGGTGATGGCTGTCAATGATACGTTTATAATTTTTTTTGTGATAAAATTGTATTTTGAAAAACATTTTTTGTTATTAAATTAAAAATTGAAATTCCGCGTAACCGACACTAACCTAAAAGGCAATTTATTTTAATTAAATAAAAAAATTCCCCAAGTGAGAAAAATATATTGGGAATTTTGATTTATTTCCTTAAAATTTTATTGCAATTAAATAGAAAATTCCAAAGGACAATAATTAAAACAGCTTCCATTGATGTGTAGATTCCCTTAGACGACAAAATCATACCATGTGGACCTTCTTTTCCTTTTCCTTTTCCTATTCCTTTTCCTTTCTTCTCTCCTTCGGCCGAACAGTGAAAATCCATAGAATCATCCCGTACACCCGATACCACACTAATACTCCAGCACAACCATCTATTTGTCATACTTTCTTCAACAAATTATCATCAGCGGTTAAAATTGTTTTAATATTTTGAACTTTTGTTTTAAGAGGTCTATAAATACATTTCTTTGGCGGACTCTCTCTTTCCCATCGCTTCGCTATCCTTTCTCTCACTGTATGAACTGTAACACTCTTATCTATTCTCTCTGCAGTACTCAGAGTTGAGGTGAGGTGGATTCTGACTAAGCTTTTCTTTAACTTATTTATTTTTCTTTTTTAAATAAACTATTCTTTCTCTCTGTTTCTGTTCTATTTGAAGCTCTCAAGTTGAGCTGTCGAGTTAACTCTGTTTGGCTGGCTGGAAAAAGACGAGGAAAAAAAAAGGAAAATTAGATAACTTGATTTTGTGTTTTAAACCGTTATTTTCTCTTTCTACTAAAAGGTTTTAGTTCCTTTGAGTTTATTTCTTTAAGTTTAAATTATTTCACCTTTTTTTTTCTTTCCTTTTTGTTCAAAGCTGAAAATTATGGATTTTGAATCTCATTTTCTCTCACTTCCATTTCCTGTTTCTCAGCGGCCAAACAAGAAACTTTAATAAACTGAGCCATCGTTAATTGACCGATCCAAGTCTCAACTCGGTGTTTATTTTTTTTTCTTTTTTCTTTTTCAACAGATTTTCAACGAGGATAGCAGCTGTAAGTCTCTGGAATGGGAGTTTTCAGATCCAAAATCAAATACTTAAGCAAAATTGAATTATAAAAATCGAGCTCTGAGTTATTGTAAAATTAAACTCTTAGCTCGTACTTTAAAATAATTTTATTCTGGATTGTTAATACCATGGCGATCGGGATATTAAACTCTGTTTTAGCAAAATCAGGGACGATTTCAGCCTCTGATCATAGCTCAGTAGTTTCAATGAACTTATTCGTGGCGCTTCTTTGCGGGTGTATAGTGATCGGTCATTTACTTGAGGAGAACCGATGGATGAACGAGTCCATTACTGCCCTTGCGATTGTAAGTTTTAGTTTTGCATATATATATATATATTTTGGGTAAAGAAAAAAAAAGCCATTAATTTTCCTGATTTTGATTTTTTTAATGGCAGGGGATATGCACTGGAGTTGTAATTTTGCTCACAACAGGTGGAAAAAGCTCACATCTTTTGGTTTTCAGTGAAGATTTGTTCTTTATTTATTTGCTTCCACCCATTATTTTTAATGCGGGGTGAGTTATTGATGTTTACATTTAATCTTTATTTATGTTTGTATTGCACAGTTGTACTTACTTTATGAGGAACATGATTTATTTTTGGTTATTATAAGTTAAAGTGCATTAATGGTATCCTTTTTTGGTTTTTTTAGAATGTGGGTTTTTACTTTCAATTTAATTTCGGATCATATGCTGGGATAATACTTAATACTAGTCTTCTTTACTGGAAGTGGCTAGACATTGACAATGATTGGTATTTTTCTTTGTACCAGATTCCAGGTGAAGAAGAAGCAATTTTTCCGCAACTTTATGACTATCATGCTGTTTGGAGCAATTGGTACTTTAATATCCTTTGGCATCATATCTGTAGGTATGTTTAATGGTTTGACAATAACCTTTGTATATATGTTTCATCTTATTATTGGGTGCAGAAGTTCAAAGGCTGGACACTGCATGCGTTGTCATGAACAACATGACATTGTAGTTGAAGGTGGATGGTTTATGAAATACATAGTTTTCAAATTATTAGTGAAAATTTGGAAAAGATGCTCCAACTTTTTAAGTTCTATAAAAGCGTGACCATAATCATTGTTGGTCTAGTAAAACATGCACACAGGCACACATTATTGAATTGGCCATATCTCAGAGAGTAAGGTGTTATTTATCTGGTTAAAAGATTGTACATCATGATGATTGAATACTTGGAATATTCCCCTTATAATAACTACTTATTGCTAATTTTTATCCTACTATCTATTAATTTTTTCTTCTTTTGTTGTGACCTAGGTGCCGTACATTTTTTCAAGAAAATGAATATTGGTGATCTGAAGATAGGGGATTTTCTTGGTAATATTCATGCTGCTATCTCTTTTCCTATTTATTGTTGTATTTTATGTTTTAATCTTTTGCTAATTCTCCTCACTCTCATAACTTCAGCAATTGGGGCAATATTTTCTGCAACAGATTCTGTTTGCACTTTGCAAGTATGTATGTTTGAGATCTAGATTCCTGTTACGACTTTTAAAGGGCTGTTGTGCGGACCAATTTATCCTCTGCTTGTTCTTTCAGGTTCTTAATCAGGATGAGACACCTTTGTTGTACAGTCTAGTTTTTGGGGAGGGAGTTGTCAATGATGCCACATCAGTGGTTCTTTTCAATGCAATCCAGAGCTTTGACCTTTCTCATATCGACTCTACCATTGCTTTGCAGTTTGTTGGAAACTTTTTGTATTTATTTATTTTAAGTACTTTGCTGGGAGTTTTGGTGAGACTTTATTTCTCTTCTCAGTTTGACCATCCTTGATTGTGGTTGGATATTCCTCATGATCATTTTTGTTTATCTTCTACAGGCTGGACTGCTTAGTGCTTACATTATTAAAAAGCTCTATTTTGGAAGGTTTGTATATAAGTTCCATGTTCATAAGTTTGCCTCATTTAACTAGCTGAGGGTAAATTTAATTATCTGATAAATTCAAGGGATATAAAAAATGTAGAATAGTTAAGCTTTCTCAACCATAATTTTCAGTTGAACAGAATAAGATTATATCTCTGCTTAAGCAGTAAGCACTTGTTATGCTGTTAATATAATTAGTTATATATACTAGTAAATACTTGATGTTTTCCTTTTAACTCATATGTCACCTTCTTGGCCACAAAAAAAAAATTATGGTTACCTTCTGTCAGTTTTATGTAATAAATGAAGGCAGGGAGTTCGGGTTCTTTTAAGTTAGTGTCCTCATATCTTTCCTCTTCTTTCAAAATAGGCACTCAACTGATCGTGAGGTTGCTCTTATGATACTCATGGCTTACCTCTCATATATGCTGGCTGAAGTAAGGTTTCCCAGAACTTGTATGGCACCTCTTAGGTGACCATTTTTCTTTTGTTTTAAGTAAAAAAGGCAATCTAACCACAATGTTGGCACTATTGTCTTGCAGTTTTTCTATTTAAGTGCAATTCTCACTGTCTTCTTTTGTGGGATTGTTATGTCCCACTACACGTGGCATAATGTTACTGAAAGTTCAAGAGTGACAACTAAGTATGTTCAATATCCAAAATATGTTATTTTGAACAGTTAAATCAGTTTTCCTCCTTTTTTTTTTAATCTTGGGAGAAAACTAGCCAACCTGTCATGTTATTGATATTTCATTGCTCCCTATTATTATTGCAGGCATGCTTTTGCTACTCTGTCCTTTGTTGCTGAGATCTTTATCTTCCTCTATGTTGGTATGGATGCTTTGGACATTGAGAAGTGGAGAGTTATTAGTGATAGGTGAGGTCTTAAGCTGTTTTTAGATCTTTGCTATTATCAAATGTCGAGTTAAGTTAATTTAAATCTTTTCTTATCAGCCCTGGAAAATCAGTTGGGGTGAGTGCAATTCTGTTGGGCTTGATTCTTGTTGGAAGAGCAGCCTTTGTTTTCCCCTTATCTTTCATATCCAACTTGACTAAGAAAGCTCCATATGAGAAAGTTGACTTGAAACAGCAAGTATGAGTTTCAAACCCTTCTGGCCTGTATATCTAGTGGTCCTGAATTGGATTGATGAATTCGTACATCTGTGTGGACATCTATTTTGCAGGTTACCATTTGGTGGGCCGGTCTTATGCGTGGTGCTGTATCAATGGCACTTGCATATAATCAGGTACAAGATTCAACTGATTTCTTCTTCTGTAGACCGTACAACATTAGATAATTTATGGATATCAGTAGTAGGATGTTTGGACACTCAAAAAAACTGCTAAATTAGCAGCATCACTTTGTTGTGTAGCCTTTAGCTTGAGATACTTGTTCTCCTTCTGGCCAGCAGTTAATGCTCCTCCTACATGCTTACCTAATGTCTGGGTTACAAAGTCCATTAGCAAATGGCCAACAGGCTGAAATTGATAGTTTTCAATTAATATTTTTATATCTATTTAAAGGTTGATCATGGTTTTCGTATTCCGTTAATTTAGTATGCCAAGTCGAGATGATTTTGACAGTGAAAATTCAGTACACTCGTATAGGTTGCAAGTTTTTTGCTAACTTCATGCCTTGCTGTAAATTTGCCAAGACTAAAAGAGAATAAAATGTGTAATCATGAGCTTAACTATTCATCTTCTGCAGTTCACCAGCTTAGGTCATACTCAGTTGCGAGGGAATGCAATGATGATAACCAGCACAATCACAGTTGTTCTTTTCAGCACAGTGGTAAGATACAAGTCATCCCTATCTTTGTCTCTGAAGTTTGATAATAATCTCTTACCTTTCCTCTCATACTTTCCGATCTTTCCCCATCGTCACTGTTTTCAAATTGCAGCATAGCAGCTATATATGTAATTATGTTCCTCAAAAACATGCAGGTTTTTGGATTGATGACTAAACCATTAGTTAGAATCTTACTTCCTTCACCAAAACATCTAACGAGAATGCTTTCTTCTGAATCATCTACTCCAAAATCATTCATTGTCCCACTTCTTGGCAATGGGCATGAACAAGAGGGTGATCAAAGCAACGATATACCCCGTCCGACCAGCTTAAGAATGCTCTTGAGCACTCCTTCCCACACTGTGCACTATTATTGGAGAAAATTCGATGACGCCATCATGCGACCTGTATTCGGTGGTAGGGGTTTTGTTCCCATTGTTCCCGGATCACCCGCAGAACAAAATGGCCATCAATGGCAATGAAAGGAACTAGCAGAAGAAAATACTATACTAATTTTATAAAATTGTAGATAGGGCATGAAGCCGGCTTTTAGTGTGAAGTTTGCTAATATAAAAGAGAGTTTTGCAGGTTGATTATAACATCAATTTTGTCCAGCATTAGCTGCTTATGATTATTTGATTGTATTCCCATATTGTTTGTTGTCCCATTTGTGAGATTGTAATCTTGACATTGTGTTTGGTTTTTGTTCGTTTGTAAAAGGTTTCTATTGATTGTATTTTTTTTTTCATAGTACTCTCTTCCTTCGTAATTTCTTTTTTAGTATTAACGTATGATTTAGCTCTAAACTGTCACTTTTTTATAATCATCAATTTTTTATGACTTGGTACCTATGGAAAAAGCACAGATAGGTATCTGAAATTTTATTTTCGACAAGTATTGGCATCACACATTAATTCTATTAACAATAAGATGATGCAGTAAAAAATAACAAATAATATTATAACCTGTGGTATATTTTTATTAGTTAATATCTATCACGTTAGCCTTTTGACTAATCGTGTTAGCAAATGGTGTAAAATACTTTGACAAAATAAATTTTGGATATGATGAATTTTTTTTATAGATACCAAATTATTAGTAGGATAATTCAAGAATTAAATTACATTTTAACTTATTATATGATAGACTTTTGTTTTTTATACTTATTATATTAGTAGGATAAAGAAGGTGTCAAATAATAATTTTAAAGGGGAAGGGGAGTCCAAGTAATATTTTACTGAGTCAGGACATCGTAGCATAAAAGAGGAAAAAAATTTTAGAGAGCACAACTTTGCCCTTATTTATGAGTAAAATAAGATAAAATGATATAATAAATATGATAATCTTAAATAATATTATTTTATTTTGTGTTTGATATGTGTAAAATTTATGATAAGATAATTTTATTTTTTAATAAAATTATTCTTTTTTAAAATTTACATAATTTAAATTATTAATGTAGTTTTGAAATGTATAATATAACATATAAATTTAATCTTATAAATTAAAAATAATCTTATTCAATAATTAATTATCTTATATCAAAAAAATAATTAATTTTTCTTTTAATTTTATCAATTTTTTAAAATGTAAACTAAATAAAATAAAAAAATAATTATTTTCTTATCTTTTTTATCGTAGCATGCTTTATCCCTTCTACCTTAGACGAAAAAGTTTATACGTTTTAAGTTTAACAACTTGCAGCATATCTTTTAAGCTATAAGCAGGAGTAAGAATTTGAACCAAGTAAATCTTCTGGAGGACTGAAAATCTTATTTCTTCGACCATAGAAATATTTGACCATACAAATATTCAATATTAAAAATAAAAAAAATGCTCAACATTTAATCTAATAATCGCATCAAAAAACTTTAGTACTTGGAATGAAATTTAAAGTTTTAGTTAGCTATTATATATTAAAATTGATGCTAAGAGGGGCCAGATAGCAAATATATATGAAATAAAATTGATGCTAGAAAGTAGTAGAGAGTATGAGTGTAATTGAATCGAATCGAATCGATATATTAAAAAGTTTGAGTTTGAGTTCGATTCTCAATTTGTGATTTGATATTTGATTGAAAACTCAATCGAGTTTTATTTTTTTAATTTGAATTTAATTTGTTATCGAAATCGAATTATTAGTTCATCATTAAGTCATTAATATATAAAAATAAATTCGATTCGTATACTAGACAAAATATTGATTATTTATGTTTGAACTTGAATTTGAGATATTTTATTAATTAAAATAATAAAAATATATTTAAATATAAAAATTCGATAAAATTCACGAATTACTCGAATCGAATATAATACTGAATTCGACTCGATCAATGAGTCAAGTTATTCGAACTTGAACTCGATTCGTTAATAATCGAATTGAATTTAAATTTTATTCGGATCGAATTCAAATATCTTATGAGTATCAATGTATTATTTATATCTCTAATAAAAAACAATGATAATTGAAAACAAGAAGAAAAAAAAAGTGATGTGACCCATCTATCACGTGTATATTTTAATCAATTAACTCAAAAAGTGATGTGGCATTTTGTTGGCTATATAGTATGTTTTGGTTGACAAATTGATCTATCATTACTCTTTTCATTTTAAAATATTTATTATATTGATTTTTATAAAATTAATTTTTTATAACTTTTAATATTAAAAAATAAAAATTTTTAAAATATAACAAATTAGATATTAAAAAGAAAATAAAATATAATTTTAAAACATTAAAAAAATTTAAAAAGATAAATAGAAGGAATATATTATTTTATCGATATTAAATGATTTGACATATTAATAATAAAATAAAATTTTAAATATATTTTTTGATATATATATTTAAATTAAATAATTGTAAATTATGCATTCTAAATGATTTCAATAAATAATTATCAATAAAATTCAAATCTAAAATTTTTTCTTCAAAAAAGACAAATCTTAAATCAATCACTTGTTGATTGTATTACACATTTTTCAATACTAGCTAAATATAACCATATTTTCAATGTACAATATTCATCATTTATAACGAAATTATATAGTCCCAAGCAATTTCCGCATTTATTAATGAAATTTGATAAGTCTGCATTAAAAATGACACAGTTCCAGAACGTACTTCTAATAGATAGCAGCAGCAAATTTTAAGATCCTAGTCTTTCACTTAAGAAGCAACGACAATAGATGAAATGAGGATGAATTTCATGTCGATCGCCCAAGGGTGGGATTTTGCCTTTGCTTAGGCCTGCTAAATAGTAAGAAAGAAAAATGAATTAAACAATAACAAAAAACCCGTAAAAAACACGATATGATATGTGGGTCGTTAAATTTAAGTCTCATTTAATAATATTATTGAAAGTAATATTTTCATTTAAAAATTACTTTTTATTTAAATGCAATGTTTAAGAATAGCACTCAATTTGTGACTAATTAAGAAGAAGATGATAATATTATTAGATTTAATAATTTAAAATTATGATACAATATAATATAATTATAATATAAAAATAATATTATTTAAAATTTAATAATTATATATATTTAATAAAAATATATTTTATATTTTTATATTAATTTAATTATAACATATAATTTTTATATAAAATATAAAATAATTATAATATTTTTAATATTTTATATTATATAAATACATAAATAGTTGAATTTATATAATATTATCCTATACTAATGGTAAGAAAATAGGCCACAACATTTCTTAGTAGTACTGGACGTAGGGATGACAACAAATCGGATCAAAAGAGATTTTTGTTCGTCTCGAATTCAATTTGATTATAAATATGTAAAATTTAAACTTGATTCGATAATTTTTTATTATTTTTTTATATCTGAATCTGATTCGATTCGATATTATATAAAATCATATTCACTCGATTAATTGAAATTAATAAAATATTATTTTAAATATAAATATAAAATTAAATATATAAAAATAATTATAAAATTAAATAAATAATTAAAAAATATATATATATCAAATAAGATAAAATCGAATTTACTTAAAATTTGATCACGATCCATCTGACTTTGACTGTTTTTTTTATGTCACTTGACCTGATATTTAATTTTAAAAAAAATAATAATCGACCCTAAAAATTCGGGTGGGATTGAAATCCGTACGATTTTTTTGCCTTATCTAACTGGACGGCTAGGGACAGTGGAAAACAATAAAGATATACCCTTTTCTAATTTGTGGTCTACAATATCTCTGCAACCAAAGCAATAAATAGTTGATTGAGAATTGTATTATATACATTATTTTTATTTTATTTAACAGTCAAATCAAATGGCTATAGTATCTAAAATAATTGTAAATATTATATTAAAAATTCAGCATTTTATATATAATAATAATTAGTTAATACTTAATAGTAGAAAGACAAACTTGGTAATAATAATAATACGTATTATCACCACAATAAATACAACTGCATACCGTAATTATAGTACTTAATATTTTCTGAAAAAAAATTAAAAAACACATCAAAATAAAGAAATAATCTAATTCAGAATGACACTAAAATTTTATACTCATTTTCTGTAAAATTTTACTTGTTTTTACCTTATTCACTTACTAGATAAATTTCTACAAAAAAAAATAACGAAAATCAATGATAAAAACAAGTAAATTAAATACAATATCAATTCAAACATAATTGTTTTATATGTAAAAAAAAATCATATATTTTATTATAAAAAGTACAAATTTAATCTATATCCAAACGTTCCAACAAGCTAAGAATAAACTTAAGAATATATATTGTTTATAGTTTAGAATATGATGCATATTGGATATAAACATTTAATTAGTAATAAATAAAATTAATTTTTATATTAATTTTATTTATATTTTAAGTAATTATATTTGAATAGAAATAATTATATTTATATAAATAGATTATATTCATAATTGTTATGTTTATACAACAAAATCGTAGCCATTGAATATAAACTTATATTGTTATTTATTATAAATATATTTTTTAATATAACTATTTCTATTATTTTTTATTGAAGAGTTGAGATTTTATTGTATCCTAAAAATATAATTGCTTTTAAAAAGATATTTTTTCATGACTCAAAATCAAAATTTTTATTATTATTACTATTTTCTTATTATATTTTCTAATAATTTAAAGAGAATTATGAGATTCATATTTCACGTGAGGAAAATACAAAGAATATAAATTAGCAAAGTTGGCAAAATCAACTTTTTGAAACAAGCATGGAAAGTTTCAATTATCCAAATAGTTTTTTGGTAAAATAAATACTAAATATAAGCTAAGTTTCTTGTTATTGTCTTTCTTAGTTTTTATATTCTACTAAAAGAATTGATGATTAATAATTCATAAGAAACCTGACTCTCACTGAATTTTGCTTTCTTTATTAACTATTTTTTTAATCTTTTGATTCTGAATTAAATTATTTAATTTATGATTTATGATTTTATGATATGTTATATGTGGATTTTCTTAATCATGGCATTAAATGGTCATGAGCATAAAATGGACATGGAGTACTTGCTAGTTTTGGTTATGAATCTTTTATAGTTTTGTTTTATTTTGGTAAGACCATGGTTATCAAATCAAAATGATAAAATTTTTTAGAATTATTGTAAGGTATAAAAGAAATTGTGAATTTATAAGTCTTTACGAAAAAGAAGCAAGTATATATATTTTTATCATAAAATCATATTTTATGGTTCATATTCCATGATTACATTTTATTGACAAGAGAATAATGCATGATTCATATTATTTGATTTATATAATGTTATTTCAACAAAGTAT